AACAGTAATTAAAAAACTACTAGGTACACTACGAACAGACCTAATAATTATTGTCAGTTGGAACCAAAGTTTATTGGAACTGAGCCATATTGTATTGTTGCAGAACAAATGTAGACAATACAAATCGAACATTATAACATTAGAGAAGTAATATAGTGTGAAGTGTTTTACAACGCCTTAAATCAGACAAAAGAAGAGCTTTAAAGTGGATGAACATCGTTTTCACTTTTATTTTGATAAATGTTTCATCCGGCAACATCACTCAATGAAATTTCAAAAGAATATGTCAAATATAATCTAACATAACCTTAAACGAAACTGCGGTGGGTTCAAGTAATATGTGAAGTATCAGTTTGCTCTTTGTCAAATTACACGTTACAAAGAAAGAAGGAACGATTCATTCTGAACTGGTCCCTGAATAAGAATATGACGCAAGCCTGTCACAAACTTGCTTTTCATTGGACGCTCACCTGCAGCCTACAAGCGACGCGCGCAGTCCAGGTAATAGGAGATCGGTCTATTGTCACTTGGAACTTGGAGCTGATAATTTGGTATGATTGTCACTTAGAACTGACAATTAATGTCTGTTTTCAAAAGAGTTTCTGGCAGTTTGGAAACTGTCATTAAGCATCGAGCTTCGCCCATAGATGTTTTCAGTGCTGTCGTTCCTAGATAAATCAGTAACTTAACTTAGTGATTCTTCCCAACAGTTTACAAACTGTCAAAGACCCTTGTGAGAACAGAGCTTTACAGCCAGACAGTTATAGAAGCCCCTCGTTTTTATTCTCATCGGTGACTTCACCGATGAGTTAGCTATCTTTGTTTAGTGAATGGAAAATGACAATGACGGCCCTAGAATGGTGGATCCATCGGTAAAATTTGATGAGAATAAAAACGCAGGGAAGATTGAAAAAAAAATAATGAAAAGTTTCCAAAAGTTCTGTATGATTTGTACCTAGAGTGTTCTAGAGCGTTCCAAAATACTCCTAGAAATTTTATCTTGAATTTCAACCTAAACTTTAAAGTATCTCAAGCTTTCTTGAATGTTTTTGAGAGTTCTGGAGTGTTCTGATCCATTCTAGAATGTTTCTGAAATTCTAATTTGATTCTGAAGTGTTTCGTAATGTTTCACATTGTTCCTAAAAGTTCCAATTTGTCTCAAACAAATGCAGCAGGATTGAAAATTGAATTGAAAGTCTTCTGAAGCTTATTAAAGTTCTATATTTATTCTAAAGTGCTCCAGGGTGTCTCAAAAAGCTTGAAAAAACGGCAGTATATTGATGAGTAGATGGCTGCGGAACTCGCTGCGCTCGTCCCGCAGAGGTCCACCTATAAATTCTGCAATAATCCACTTATTTGTACTTGAACAATAACTTATTATATAAAGTCAAAATTGTAAGATCATCCACTTTTTGTCAATTTGCCTTTCAACAAGAATTAGTAATGTTACTTTACCAAACTACTAACATAATGTGACTAATTATTCAAGTACAAATGAGTAAATTGTTGCGGCACTTATGGGTGGACCTCTATTTATCAATATGTTGTTTAATTACGATACTAACCTGACTCACTCAAAAATGTGAGTTATTCTCATTGGTTTAAAAACTACACGTTTTAGGTGAATGTCTTACTTGAACAGTTCGACAGTATATTGGTGAGTAGATGGCTGCGGAACTCGCTGCGCTCGTCCCGCAGAGGTCCACCCATAAATTCTGCAATAATCCACTTATTTGTACTTGAACAATAACTTATAATATAAAGTTAAAATTGTAAGATCATCCACTTTTTGTCAATTTGCCTTTCAACAGGAATTAGTAATGTTACTTCACCAAAATAGTAATATATTGTGACAAGTTATTCAAGTACAAACGAGTGAATTGTTGCGGAACTTATGAGTGGACCCAGCCATCTATTCATCAATATGTTGTTCAAGTATGATCCTAACTTGACTCACTCAAATGTGAGTTATTCTCGTTAGTTTAAAAACTACACGTTTCAGGTAAATGCCTTACTTGAACAGTTCAACAGTATATTGGTGAGTAGATGGCTGCGGAACTCGCTACGCTCGTCCCGCAGAGGTCCACCCATAAATTTTGCAATAATCCACTTATTTGTACTTGAAAAATAACTTATTATATAAAGTCAAAATTGTGAGATCATCCACTTTTTGTCAATTTGCCTTTCAACAGGAATTAGTAATGTTACTTTACCAAACTACTAACATAATGTGACTAATTATTCAAGTACAAATGAGTAAATTGTTGCGGAACTTATGGGTGGACCTCTGCGGAACGAGAGTAGCGAGTTCCGCTGCCATCTATTTATCAATATGTTGTTTAATTACGATACTAACCTGACTCACTCAAAAATGTGAGTTATTCTCATTGGTTTAAAAAATACACGTTTTAGGTGAATGTCTTACTTGAACAGTTTAACAGTATATTGGTCAGTAGATGGCTGCGGAACTCGCTGCGCTCGTCCCGCAGAGGCCCACCTATAAATTCTGCAATAATCCACTTATTTGTACTTGAACAATAACTTATTATATAAAGTCAAAATTGTAAGATCATTCACTTTTTGTCAATTTGCCTTTCAACAGGAATTAGTGATGTTACTTCACCAAAATAGTAATATATTGTGACAAGTTATTCAAGTACAAACGAGTGAATTGTTGCGGAACTTACGAGTGGACCCAGCCATCTATTCATCAATATGTTGTTCAAGTATGATACTAACTTGACTCACTCAAATGTGAGTTATTCTCGTTAGTTTAAAAACTACACGTTTCAGGTAAATGCCTTACTTGAACAGTTCAACAGTATATTGGTGAGTAGATGGCTGCGGAACACTTTACACTCGTCCCGACCAGAGGTCCACCCATAAGTTCCGCAATAATCCACTTATTTGTACAGGGTGTTTTTTTATATATTGACACCCCACCTACACCCTTTATCTTTACAAAGAGAGGCAAGGTGATGTTAATACAAAAGTTGTACAGTTTTAACAACCATGGCCATAGAAACAAAATTTGATTGTCAGAAATGTAAAATTTTGCATGCTTCTAGCTTTTTTCAAATGGGATGCCCTATATTTCATACGATATTCCGATTCCAAAAATATATAGTTTGTCTATATTTGATTGAACAGTCTCTCATATATTCGGCTCTAAAAATTGTAAAAATACTATCCTGCTACTGATTTTGTGAACCATTCTACCTGTATAGGTGAAAGCTGCAGGGAAAATTTGAGGTACTTAATTTCTCTGATAGTATTTTTAAAATTTTTAGAACCAAATATGTTGGAGACGGCTCAACCAAATATAAACCAACTATATAGTTTTGGAATCGGGAAATTGTGCTCTTCAAGAATATAGAACCAAATATAGCGCATCCTATTTGAAAAAAGCTGAAAGCATGCAATATTTCACATTTCTGACATTCAATTTTTGTTTCTGACCATGAATTCTAAAAATGCTGTCAATAGGACTGCACAACTTTTGTATTTACACCTTTCATCTACTACATGTAAAGGTAAAGAGTAAAAACTGTAGGTGAGGTGTCAATATATAAAAAAACACCCAATAATTTCGACAGGCTTTCCCTAATTTTTGTGCATTTTCTATGGGATGCGGAAATGAAAACTCAGGTTTCAAGAATATCTAGTGTGATAAGAAAACTAATACACAAAATCCCTTAAAAAAAATCCAAAACATCAACATCTGTCTGTTTCTAAAAGGTTTCTTTTTAATTCCCGAACCCATATAAGGAACTTGTATAGGCCACAATTATTGACCCGCGGGTACCCACATTTAAGTGAAAGTAAAAGCGATGCATTTCTCTTTTCATTTTTTGTTGTTGTTGGATGTTGTTGTAAAAAGAAGAAGAGAAGAAAATCTCTTGCCACCAAATGAGAGATTTTCAGCATGGAATTTTTAACTTAGATTTCCCTTATTGTAATAATACAGGGAAAATTTACTTATGACCACTTTTAATTACTCCCAGAGAGCACGTAGAAGTTTTACATTGCGTCTGAAGACCAAAAAAAGATGTCTACACCATTTCCACTTGTAATTTGAACATTATAAATTTGTAATTTCATTTTTGAAGAGAACTTTAATTTTGGAATTGAAACTTAAAATTTGGAAACTGTTAACAATTGGAAATTAAATTCGAATTTAGGAAAAAAATATTTGAAATTTAGAATAGTTATTTGATTTTTAGAAATCGTACAGTTAAGTTGGACGTTGGGTCTCGTAACATACGACGTCTTTGAGATGTCTTTAAGACGCCTTGAAGACGTAAGCAGACGTCTAAGAGCCGTCTTGAATATCGTTTGTTGACATCATAGGGACGTCTCTATACTCTGTCCAACCAACCTACGGAGTGACAAACAACAAAACTGTCAAAAAGTTTCGTTACTATTGGTCATTTATCAGCCCGCTTTACACTGTAGAGTGATGTAGATGTTCTGTAATATTTTGAAATAAATAAATGACATTTATCAGCGTTCAGTGTAAACCTGGCCGCCATTTTAATACGGAGTCATACTCCGTAGGCTTGTTGGACAGGACAGAGTTTAAGATGCTTCTGTGCTGTCTGCGTCTGTCCTGGGAATCCGAATATATTTTTCTAAAGAATTCAAAAATGGTATCTATAAATACCAAAAACTCCTTTGAACCAAAAACCAAAGACTACGCCATAAATGACTGTTCTTTAAATGGAACACCCTGATGATTTCCGGAAAAGTACAGGATAGGTCAAAAAATAGGCCCCTGTTCAGTCCCAATTGGAACATCCCTCTACAATCTACATAAAATACATCTATTACAACGTCAATTTTACCAAATTTGGAAGTGTTCTTGCCTCTTGGAAAACGCTGCACACTGGCAGTTACCAAAATCAGCAACCTATTACATTTATCGCTGTTTTGTTCAATGCTGCTCACCCATCAAAACCTCCTCCACCTTCCCAAAAAAAAAACTAAAATTCAAAACTTACCATTAGGAACATTGGATTGTTGAGATCGTCTACCACCCCTTCTCTGATGCGAAGGTTGCAATCCGGGAGCACTAACCGCCCGTTTCGGTTGCGTAGGCATCAACCTAGTAATCCCCGGCGGTCGATACCGAGCACTTTTAACATTTTGCGACAAAAAATGATGACTCTGAGCCTTTTGCAATGCTGCTACCGAAGTGGTCGGCAAGCGCGGCAAAGAGTTGGTCGTCTGAGGCCCGCTCTGTAAGCTACGTGGTAGCGTGGCTCTATTTTCCATTTCTTCATCTTCGTCGTCGCACGAAGCTGCGTCTGGTACACTAGAACGTCTTCGATTTGGTTTGGTGGCTGTTGCTACCCAGAGTTTGTCCTCTGGAGTGCTACCTCCTATACTGCCACAGCTTCGCACTCTATCCAATTGCTCTCTGCTTAAAGATTTGTGGCTAAATAATAAGTCTCCAGCTGAGCGACGTTTTGCAGCTATTGCTAAAGCTGAAGCTGATGCTGAACCTTCTCCACCAATTAAAGATAGTTTATTGCGTGAATCGGTAGCTAATAAAGCTGATTCAAAACTACCTCTCCAAGAAAACCTTTCGCAATCGCTAGGCTCTTCGGAAATTTCTGAAACTCCACTAATAGATTGATGCAAGTTTTTATTAGTTTCACTCATTAGAAGATCATGAGATCGGCTTCTTGGAAGCAAATTATAAGATTCTTCTACAAAAGTGTCTTGTAAATTAGTATCTGAAGTGCTATCGTCATCGGTGGTTGTAGATGAAGCATTGCTAAGTTTTTGTTGTAATCGTTTATGGTAATTTCTACCTTTTGGGCTGTTTGAAGCATGGCTTTCCCCGCTGGACATTTCGTGCATTAATGCTACCAACCTACTACCAATATGGTGCATAACTTTTGCAATTAAAGGAGGCGAGTTTGGGTTTGAAGTACTTGCATCAGGTTTATCTTCTGTGGCCATTTTTTCAAAACTTGCGACAAGTTTTTGGTAAACAAAAGCGGTTTCTTTGTTTAAGCCATGTACATCATCGATTACAATACCTCCATCACCAGCATCTCCTTCTTCATCTTCAGCATTAATATCGAATTTATTGATAATTTGCTTACAACTGTCGGAAATTTGCTGTTGCAATTCAGATTTTGTACAAGCACCTTCAAGATCACTACTAGTATAATCACTAGAATCATACGAGTCACTCCAAGTGTCTTCGCTACTTAAATACTCTACAATTTCGCGCACTTGATCGTCTCGAATACCTGGAACGGTTTTCATTAGGCGGGTGAGTTCGTTTTCGAAATAAACTAATTGAGGTGGTTTGCATCTGGTTTTAGCACGTGGGAATGGTTTTGGGGAAGATCTGTTGCTTAAATTAGGGGTTGTTGGTTTGGAAGACGGGGTATTGGCAACCATTGTTTTGAAAAATTGGCGCATTTTTGACATCATTAGGTTTGTTTCTTCGTCTGAGCTCCAATTGTTGAAGCTGTCTTTTCTGGTGAGGTTCGTTGCAGGTGGTAGTGATTCTGTTATGGTTCGTTTTTCTTCTAGAATTGTTTCAGATTTTTCTTGCAAACCAATATCAGGTGATTTATTAATGTCCCTTTGGTCTTTGAGTAGATCGTCACAGCTGCCAACAAAGCCGCTGTCGCGGCTTTGTTGATTTTTGTTTGTCGATAGATTTGAAGGCATTAAAACGTCTGATGGTTGTGGAGTTTTATTTCTATCGTCATCCTCGTCGTAGTCTTGTTCTTCCTGGGTTGTTTCCAAGTTTTTAATATCCTCTAAACTAGCTTTTTGTTTTTTAGCTTTCTTTCGTTTGACTGTATCAAATTGGCCGTCTGATTTTTCAAAACTCAATACATCATCGTAAGTGTCTGAGTCTGAGCTTGAAGAATCTTCTGAGTTGTTTTGAGGTTCCAATTGTTGCTCACTGCCAGCTAAATCTGGGTTTCCTAGTAGATTGTCTAGTGAGTTTGAGTGGGATCGTCCAGTGCCTCTAGCTCTAACTAAACGTTTTCTGCGTTGTTCTGGACTGGGTTTGCCTTCGCTGTCGCTTCCAACACTGCCATCTGAATCACGTCTTTCGGCTGTAAAACCCATAAAACCACTAAGGAAGTATTTTTCTAATCGGGACGAAGCAAGCTCTTCAGAGTTTTCATTTTGAGTATCTTCTGTGCCTCCAAGCGATTCCATCCCTTCGGAATAAATGCTGCTAGTTTCAGAATAGGCATCTTCTCTGTTTGAATTAATAGACGGTATAGTTCCATCTCCTAATCCAAAGAAAAAATACTTTTCCAATTCCGTTGCGCTAGCTGGGCGTGGTTTTTTCAATTTCCTTGGCGCCTGTTCCACTTCACTTTCTTCGCAACTTTCTTCTACGATAGTATGAAGAGTGAAGTCTATGGCCGCCCTGTGGTAGCCCCTTAGCTCATCTTCTTGGTCCGCCACGGCGGAACAGGTAAGGGTAACTTCATCGCCTGATGAAGAATTTTCGGATATCGAATTTGTTGGGAAATCATCGTCTTCTTCTTCGTCGTCGTAACTGAGGTTTTCCACCCAGGAATCATCGTCGGCTAAACCTTCTTCGAACGCGCTTAGAGTTTCGGCTGATGTTATTACTGTTACGTTGTTGTCAGTATTCAGGTGGTTTGGATTATCTGGAAAAGAAAAATGATTTGAATTACATTGAAACAAAATACGCCCACATTTTATAAGGTTTCACGTTTCATATGATTTATTGAATCCATCTGAGTAAATAAAATTAAAACCATGATTAATGTAACATTTTGCCATGACATTTGGATGAAAACAAACACTCGTTAAATTTTCAAGTTTGCATATCATTAAATCATGAATACATGGAATCTACAAAAAGCATTTTCAATTAAAAGTATGTAGGTCTTGTGGGCATTAGAACGCAATCAAGATTCCTCGGTATATACAGTTATAAATTGAACTTGATGAATTTGATACTCTACTTTACTCGATTTACTAAGTAAATAACTGATTAGATTAGAATGTATTTTTATGTTGTTATTGGTACATTTTTTAGAAAATAAAAGCCTTGTAACATTGACCAAATTTCAAATTAGGCAATTATGTATTTAGTTAAAAAATTATGTAAATAATGTTTTGCCAGTTTTACTATAGGACGATTGCAGCAATGGTTGTTTTACAATCAAAACCATTAGCAAATTAATACTAATCAGTTTTTATTAATTTTATTTGAAACTGGAATACAAAATATTTGAGTTTTGACTTCAAGATTTATTTCAAAACAATGAACCCTGCTGAATTATTATTATTGTGGTTTAAATTGAAACTCACAGCAATAGCAAGGTTGAACGTAGGTATATTTATAGCACGTGGCACACGTAACTTTGTAGTAATACTTTGACCTATTGCGCTTTTAACACATCAAATCGCACAGTTGATAATTTTTTGCAACTTGCTATTTACCAACTAGATGTTAAGTAACAGTTGTGTGAAAGCCCAGGGCTAAACTTTTACTGTTTATAAAAACTTGGAGGACTTTTTGTTATAGTCTGTTTCATTGCAATAAGGATTTACACTGACCTTATGGCAGGGCCGTAGCTAGAGTCAAATTTGTGATAGGGCATGAGAAATTTGACATAGGGCATACATTACTTGCTAACTTGCCCCTCCCCCTTAATCTTTTTATAGGTAAACAAAATGGGGGTAATGGCGCCGAAGACAAATTTTTCAATAAATAACATCTCTGACAAGTAAAACAAAATGACGCTGATTCTCGCGCCGCCTTGAAGCATTCGCACCAAGGATAATACACACTAAAGGCCGAAACATACCTACGATTTTGCATAACGCATAAGCATAAGCTACAACCAATCACAGGTTGTATCGGTGGTGCCACAAGCTCTGAAAACAACACTGGGTTGTATTGAAGGTCACCTGATCATCAACTGAAAATCAGATGACCTTTAATACAACCTATGATTGGTTGGGGCTTATACTTATGCGTTATGCAAAACCGTGTGTTTCGGTCTAGAGTATTACTACATGATAGCTGAGTAGATCAAATCTCAAGCCCCCCACCACGCCAAAGAACCAGTGATGACGTAGGCAGCGTGTCGTTTCTCGCCTTAACACAGGGTGTTCGCACCACAGGCTATGATTCGGCGGGCTTTTGCTCCATGCAAACTTGGTTTTAATACATTAATTAACTTTAAAAAAAAACGTTTTTTCAGATCTCGTGTGCATCTTCCTCTTTGCCTAATTATGTTTGAATTAAATAACATTTTTCATCATAAATGTATATTCTAAACTATGACCGCTGGCGATGTAATTGATGATGTCGTCAATGGTACTACACTATATGGACTATAATGGACGCGATTTCCAGAAACAAGGCCGACAAGCAATCCTGTGTAGTATTATCGTATTATCCTTGCATTCGCTCTTTTTACACTTATCCTCGCACTTACTCGATTTCAGAGCTATTCATCATCTACTCTCAAATTTCCTAGAGAAACCTTAACGCATGTTGTGTTTTAAAGGTAGGGCATGATCATTTGAAAGATAGGGCATTGCCCCCCAATGCCCCCCCCTTTTTACGGCCCTGCCTTATGGTCCTAACCCTCGATTTGTGCTATCATCTCCAATGAAACAGACTATAGATAGACTATAGTCTGAAACTAAAAAAAATTTGTTTTCTCCTTACTGCACTTGGGTATATATCAAAATTTGCTTAGAAATACACTGCGTGTTAGGCAATTTCAAAGAGAATTGAAATCATTAGAAATTTCAATGATTCTTAATTGGAATTGAATGTTCTAAAACATAAAACAAATTTCAATAAAGTCTTTTTCCAGATATCATGCTTCAAATTTTCGAAAAAGCTCCAAAGTGGAAAAAACAATAAAGGCTCAGAGGTGTCTGAGTGCACCTCAGTGTAGCTCCAACGGAAATATACCTACAATTAGTTTAGTTTTTCAAAATACACATTTTCTCGTATGACTTCAACATGACAATTTCAGCTTCAAGAGACTCCAAGTTTCCTCAAAAATTTCAAAGTTTTGTTCAATTTTGAAGTTCTAATCGATAGAGCAGGTTTTAGTCTAACAAGACTCTAACATCATTTCGAAATGACAATTTTGAAGAGACAACAAATCTAAAAGGAAACCTTATTTGTGGCTTTAGGAAATCTCTCCAAATCCTGACAAAGTTAGGAATTATTCTGTGTATTCTCCTCATTAAAACTCTACCAAATAAAAATAAGCTATACATTATTGGAAAGAGCATCAAATTCTCTATAAATCTGTGCTAAATTGATTTAGATATGAGCTTTAGTCAGCATTTTGTGAAATATAAACGTGGGAATATTTTCTAATTTATGTTTTTTGAAGCCTAATAGGAGCTACAATTTCTAAAAATTTCGATTCAATATTTTTTGTGTTAGTCACTGTGGAAATCTTGTTTGTCCTACGGGATGGAAATCTCATGGAGATTTGTGGAAATCTATGAATATCCGTACAGATTGATTGATTGATTTGATCAACTGTAGCAATGCAAGGTTTAGTGTTTCCCTGACACTGCAGTCTGCAGTTAGCTTATTGTATCCCTTGCTGTGTGAGTTTCTGCTAGAATAGATTTAACACCTTCACAAGGTGCAGTAGGTAGCCTCTTTATTGGCAACTTCAGGGGACCCTCCTCTTGGACAGATTCCTCTTTCAAAAAGTGTCTGTTTTTCCGATAAGCAAGTGTAGGGCACTCGAATAGGATGTGAGAGGCTGATTCTTCGTCCTCGTCGCACAATGGGTTCATTTTAGTAGATTCCTATCTTGTGTAGGTGTTTCCAGGGCCGTCGCTAGGCTTTTGGCCGCCCCGGGCAAAAATTGAAAATCTGCTGCCTCCGCTCCTCCATATGCTTGCCGCAGGCGCCGCCGGAGGCAACAAATTTTTTCGGGTTCCACGCTCAAGAACGTGGATTTTGAGCCAAAAAGGAAAAAAAGAATATATTTTTTTCTACTACCGTGCGTAAGTAATTCACTTTACACACTAGTGCGTAAAAAATCGTTGAGAAAGTTTAATAAATTATTATTGGTAGATATTAGTTTCTTTACAAAAATGCAGAAATACCCACAAGTAGGTATAAACTTTTATATTAAAAAACTCTTTGCTGCAGGCGCGGATTCAGACCCAAATTAAGGGGGGGGGGGGCATACAAAATATTGGTTAGTATAATTTGACACCCCACCTTTATAGGTAGATGATAGCTGTAAACACAAAAGTGGAGCAGTTTTAGCTAAATTATTGTCAGAAATTTGAAATTTTGCGTACTTTCAACTTTTTTCAAATAGAATGCCCTATATTTGATTCTATATTCTTAAAGAGTACAATTTTCCGATTCCAAAAATATATAGTTTCTCTATATTTAGTTGAGCCGTCTCCACCATATTTGGCTTCAAAATTTTTTAAAATACTATCAGAGAAACCAAGTGCCTCAAATTTTACCTGAAGTCAGTAGGATAGTATCTTTCCAATTTTTAGAGCCAAATATGTTAAAGGCGGCTCAAACAAATATAGACAAACTATATAGGTATTAAAAGCCAATATAGCCAATAAAAATGTTTAAAGTACCCAAAATTTCAAATTTCTTACAATAAACTTTTGTTTTTTGACGATGGATTCTGAAAATTTAGTTAAAACTACACAAATTTTGTGTTCACAACTATCATCTACCTGTAAAGTTGCTTTTTAGGTGCTAATTAGGGCCTCTAATTAAAAATAAGGTGCTCCTCTAGTTTTTGAGAAAATCAAAAAAAACTAAGGGACTGCTAGGTTTATGAAAGCTAGTAGTCCCCTATAGTAAAAAATATTTTTCCAAAATTTTCTTTTGTATCAGAATTAGGTGCTTTTTAGGTGCTCTTAAATAGTCGAAGCAAAAATAGAATTGATTAATTATTAACTAAGTTACAGATTTTTTTAAAATTATTAGGGGACTGCTGGCTTTACGTCTACTTGTTGGTGTGTCAGAATGGCAAAAAAACTTCGGGTTCTATATAATAATTAGGTGCTTTTTAGGTGCTAATTAGGGCATCTAATTGAAAATTAGGTGCTCCTCTAGTTTTCGAGAAAATCAAAAAAAACTAAGGGATTACTGGGTTTATGAAAGCTAGTAGTCCCCTGCAGTAAAAAATATTTTTCCAAAATTTTCTTTTGTATCAGAATTAGGTGCTTTTTGGGTGCTCCTAAATAGTCGAAGAAAAAATAGAATTGATTAATTATTAACTGAGTTACAGATTTTTTTTTTAATTATTAGGGGACTGCTGGCTTTACGTCTACTTGTTGGTGTGTCAGAATGGCAAAAAAACTTCGGGATCTATATAATAATTAGGTGCTTTTTAGGTTAAAAAATTAAAAATTAGGTGCTCCGTGCTCCTCTAGTTTTTGAGAAAATCAAAAAAAAACTAAGGGACTGCTAGGTTTATGAAAGCTAGGAGTATAATATTTTGTTGGGATATGGTTTTCAAATATTGTGTGAACGATAAGTAGGTGATGTCTTTGGCCGCCCATATAAAATGGCCGCCCTGGGCGGCTGCCCGCTCGCCCGACCCCTAACGACGGCCCTGGGTTTTTCCTCAGTGTACAGTTACCAGTTAAGAGTCCCGTCACAATT